TTCGGTTACTTGGGATTGACATCAAAATTGCTGGAAGGATGGTGTGGAGACTACTGCATGGACAAATACTCACACGCAGGGAAAGGAGGAGGGTAAGTCGGCTAAGATGAGCTGAAGACATGATGCATTTTTAAATCAGGTCACAACCAGTTTTTAGTTATTGGTATTATTTATTATGTAATGTTAAATTCAGTAATCTCTAGGTAAATCATTAAACATTTTGATCATGCCTCTTTGAAACATAAACTGCAGACTTGTCATCTGCTCTTTGCACATGCAGGGGTATTGTGCTATTTTTGACCATGAGTAGCTGCATGCTAGTGCGCATATTTTGGATGCATTAAAGAGACCTCCTGTTTGTGTGTGCAGCTCATGAGGACCTGTGCTGATCTGTTCCGCCTGGTGCCGTTCATGGTGTTCATCATCGTCCCCTTTATGGAGTTTCTTCTGCCTGTTTTCCTGAAGCTTTTCCCAGAGATGCTGCCCTCTACCTTTGAGACAGAGTCCAAAAAAGTATGTTCAGGGCTGCAACTAACAAATACTTTAGTAGTCAGCTAGTCAGCAATTATATGCTTTTTGATACAGTTATTTTAACAGTTACTAGTCCCCAGATCACAGTGATTTAGATTAATAATTGCAGCGCTAGTTCATGGATACAGTATTGACCATACTAAAGTTCATGCCAATTGCTTATTACTCAAAAGGCTTATCATAAGTCAGCTCTCTGCATATACTTGCATACTTAGTTTTATTTACTCAGCACAGTTCTTAAACTGAAGTAAGGGTGGATGAAAATCATATTGTAATTATGTTATTTATGTTAACGAGGCTGAAAGTTATTCTGGTCTAGGAGATTAAATTAACTAAAAGCGTGCTAAAAGCACTATCTTATCTCTACACTGTGCAAACAAAATTGGAACATCAGAAAAATATTAAAAATAAAATAATATAGTTACTGTCTTAAACTCTTGATTTAACCATCAGATTTACTTTTACTTGATATTTTATACTTTTTTTTGCAGGAGGAGAAGCAGAAAAAGGGTTTGGCTGCAAAGCTTGAACTGGCCAAGTTCCTCCAGGAGACCATTGCTGAAATGGCACGCAGGAACAAGGCCAAGGCTCAGACACAGGATGAGGCTCAGCGCTTCTCCACATATGTACAAAAAGTATGTGTAATAAAGTTAAAGGTGCACTATGTAACTTTTCTTGTGCCTGCCACCTGCTTGTCTCTTTGTCTGACCTGTAACTTGGCCTGGTTGTGTCACCTGCTTGTCTTCATGGAGATGGGTTTAATGCCATATTATGGAACATTCTTGACAAAGCAGTATCTTCTCCATGGAGGCAAATAGAAAACTTACATTGTGTAACTTTTAAGATAAAGAGTATTATGTGTGTGCGCTCTTATGACAAAGCTTTGTTTCACAGGTACGAGTCACTGGTGAGCAGCCCACCACTAAGGACATTGTGAAGTTTTCCAAGTTGTTTGAGGATGAGCTGACACTGGAGCATCTGGAGCGCCCCCAGTTGGTTGCTCTGTGTAAACTGCTGGAGCTGCAGCCGATAGGCACCAACAACTTGCTGCGTTTTCAGTTAATGATGCAACTGAGAACTATCAAGGCTGACGACGAGGTCAGGATATAAATGTTGTGTTTAAAGATGCTTTAAGTCATGTATCATTAACTAACTTTATTTATGATATTTTATCTCTCTTATTAGATGATCGCAGCAGAGGGTGTAGCAGCCATGAGTGTGTCAGAGCTCCAGGCTGCTTGTCGTAGTCGTGGGATGAGGTCTTTGGGTCTCACAACTGATCAGCTTCGACAACAAATGCAGCAGGTAAAACTAGTGCGTTTAAGTTAAAGAGGTCTGAACTGTGAATCAGTACATCATGTATTTTGATGTATTATCAAACCATATTTTTCCAGGGTAAAATGAACTACCTAAATGTATATCTTGTACCACCACAATGTCTGCTGCTTAAATATAAATTAAAAAACATATCTGGATTTTCAAACAATACAATACCAGATTATATTGTTGCAGTTTATGTAATGACTAATTTCTGTCTTTCTCAGTGGTTGGATTTGCATCTGAAAGAGAATGTTCCTCCCTCACTTCTATTGCTGTCAAGAGCCATGTACCTGACAGACCTCAAACCAAAGGCCCCAGTCATCCCCCCTGTTCCCAAACTAGAGGTATAAATTGCACTTTTGCAAGTATGCTGCATTATAAATACAAACCAAAGGAAAAGCCAACCTGTAATGGTACTATAATTGTATTGCTTTTCCTATCTACAGAAGACTAACCCTCCACCTCCTATGGATAAGACTGAGACGAACACATCTTCAGTTAGTGCAGACATGCTCAAGGACCCAGCTCTCATTATTAAAGACAGACCGGTTAGTAATACAAGCTCACTCTCTTATCCTCTCTTTTGTTGTTATTATAATCACAGTGGTATTTTCAGGTGGAAGAGATGAGAGATAAGGCCTCTGCTTTATCTGATAAACCCCTCACTCCAGCTGAAGTCCTCCAGGTGAGAACTTTTTCTATGAGCCACAAAGTCTTGTCTTATTCTCCCTAAAGCCTCACTCAGTTTTATTTTTTTTGCTTTTTGAGCCTCTTTAGTTGCTTCATCTATTGAACCCATGTTACAGTCAAAAACATCTTAGTAAGGATTGTGTAATCCAGTTGGTTCTTCTTGGCTTTGATGTTAATCATATGATCAGCTAATCTCATGACTTTCAGTAAAAATATACCACATAAAAAATACTGAACTGTTTTCACATGAATGTTCACCTAGCCCAAGTTTTTGTTTTGCTCAGTTGTGTCTTTTGTTTCAGGCAAAAGCAGCAACAGAAATGTCTCACAAGAGCAAGATGAGCGCCAATGGTGTCTGAATAAGACTTGAAGCCTCTGACCGAGAGACAGTGATACAGAAATGGACCAGTCACAGGCGACACACATCAGTCCATCCCTATATAGTTTGAGTAAATACTCTTTAGTGGGAGAGGATCCTGTGGCTTTGTTGCACTCATTTCACCATAGGGGCTTGTGAAGGGATGAGTGAATCCGTCATTTGAGCTGCTCCACGCACTCCATTCTGTCACTTATTTTGTGCAAAGTCTCAAAAGGACAATCATCAGTGCAGTTGATTTGATATCATGAACAGCCCTCTCTCTATGGCCCAGCTGGCTCTCACTCCACTTTGTGTAAATTTGTAAATACTATGTAAATTAACGTCTCTTACATCGCAGCAGCAGCAGCTCCTCTGTACAGTTTGCTATGCAAAGGTCATTGTCTCTTGAATTTTTCAAGTTTTCTCTTGTAATTATAGTTTTATTTGTAGACCTAAAAGTCTGGTTCAGGAATTGAACAAGTTAATTTACTCCCAGATCTCTATTGAACGTTTTTAGTTCAATAGATATTTCAAATCTAACTGTCAACGATAAGCGCACACAGTAGACCTCCTATAGTTACACTCTGGAGGTATTGTTGTCCGATATGGATTTACTTAAAATCTAGTTGTACTGATGCTTGCTGCTTGATTAGAAAATTTAAACTCATATTTTATTGAGAGAGCACTCATTCCCTAAAGAGGAGGTGTCTGGTGTAAACGTTTACGGTTATTTGAGCAGATAAACTTTGACAAATTCATATTTTTATCTGACTGTAAACAGTGTATGTATTGTATTTTAGCAGTGCTAATATTTAAAATCAGAAAACAGAAAATACTTGATGTTGTCCATAAAGAGATATTATTGTGGAAAAGAATTCCCTGATTAGATTATTTTTATTTTTGGTATTGCAGCCTAAAAAGTTAATGTATAAAATATGCTATTGACCTGTTGTCCTCTCTATTACAAACCTAAATATTAAGCTCTTGAAATCATTTTGGAAAGTTTACCTGAAAATTGGTTTGCAATTTGCTTTTGTTTGTGTACCATTCTCATTTTTTCGGCACACTTTTGGAGACCTGGCCTCTGTGAGTTATGCTCTGAATGTGTCTTTGCTCATGATCCATAGGCACTATGATTTTGTGCCATAAACTGAAATAACTAACCATGATGTCTATGATTGGGTTTACATACTGTATGTGCCTAAGGAAAAAAGGCGATCATTTGTCAAACCAGCACCATTTTAGGTCGTCTACTTTCTATCGTTTCATTTGAACAATGGATGGTGTAAATGAAACCTTTGTTGCACTTACTGTACTTTAATTCATGTGAACCTCTGACTGTAACCGTTTCTGTAAGGACGTTTGTTTGACTAGTCTTCTGGCTACACAGTGAACGATTTTAAATACTTCACTGATGTCTTTGTCTGGTTCTAAACCGTTTACGACAAAAGTGGTATAATGCAAGAGACCACCTGTACAAATGAACAGGCCATATACTTTATAACGTTCTCGACTTATTTAACTAAACTTGACTCCCGTTCTTAGCTATGGTGTCTGGACTTCACTGTGTAGCTCAGAAGATGCCTGGTATCGCTGTCCTGTCAGCTAAAAAACCTTAAAGACGTATTCACCATAAAATGACGGTTCACATCGACAAACTGGATGGAATGGAAATACCAGAAGTTGCTATTAAAATGACATACTTGGTGACACTCATTTTGTGTTGAAAATCATTTTATATTTACTGTAGTCTACATGGTAACGTGAAAAAGCAGAAACTACTCATTAATTCTAAGCGGTAATTTAACGTTTATTTACGTTACTCTACTACTACTCTAAACATGAGCGCCAGATGACGCTGTTTCTCAGATGACGTCATTTAATTGGATGAATTATGCTCAAATTTTAATATATATATATATATATATATATATATATATATATATATATATATATATATATATTTTTTTTTTTTTTTTTTTTTTTTTTTTACATGAGGTAGAACGGCTTCGCTCTCCGCACGCTCAAAGCAAATGGGGAAATAAAATGCTCAAAACGTGATATGTCACGGTCTTGAACAGGTTCTGACTGTTGAAAATAGTGTCACATGGCACGTGGAGGTCTGGACTATTTTTATCAAGGGAGACTTGACGAAAATAGTAGTTAGGGGCATTTGATCTCAGACGAATTTTGGTGTTGAGGTGTTGGCGCACAGAGGTCAGTTGATTCTACTTTTTAACTGCATTGTTTTTAGCTTTAGTACATTATTACAGGTCTATAGCCTGCTTATATATTTATATTAAGTTATTTTGCATAGGCTACTATCGTTTTAAGGGCTTCACCAACGGAGGCATTGCAAAAGGACAGTAGGACAGGTTTATGGTTTTGTCTTGGGTTATGTTGGTGACGGGGCGTTGTATAATTTAATTTTAGGTTAAGGGATTCTGCTTAGGCTTTACATTTATTCATCATGACCGACTACTTGCAATAGCCTATATTTTAACAAATTATATTTTTTTTATTTTTACAGTTTGAAGATGAAGCTCACAGTTTTCCTATGTGTGACCATTGTCTTGGTCAACTTTCACATTATACAGGCCAAGAAGAAATTAGGTGTTCTTAATAAATTATTAAATAAGAATCCAAAGCCAAAACCAAACCCCAATCAGTTTAACCAAGGTGGATCAGTTCATAAACAAAACATACCTGGAAGTTCCTACAACCAAAGACCTCAGCAGCCAGCTCCAGGCTATGCTGGAGGAGGGCAGGGAGGAACCGGAGTACATGGAGGGTACCCTGCACAGGGAGGGTACCCTGTACAGGGAGGGTACCCAGCACAGGGAGGGTACCCAGCACAGGGAGGGTACCCTGTACAGGGAGGGTACCCTGCACAGGGAGGGTACCCAGCACAGGGAGGGTATCCAGGACATGGAGGGTACCCGGCGCAGGGAGGGTATCCAGGACATGGAGGGTACCCAGCACAGGGAGGGTATCCAGGACATGGAGGGTACCCAGCGCAGGGAGGGTATCCAGGACGAGGATATGGAATCTATGGAAGTTATGGTGGACAAGGAGGATATGGCTCTTATGCAACAGGAGAGCATGGAGGCGGTTACCCGGGGGGATACATCAATCAAAACCCTAATAACCACATCTTGAGCCCACGCTATGGGGGCAGCTTTGGGTATGGCGGCTATGCTCCTGGAGGAGGCTCTCCATTCTCACGGTCAGCCCAAGTGATGGGCTACGTTCCTTCTGACAAGTCAAAAGGGTTCGGCCGCAATGCAATGATGGCAGCAGCGGGGGGCGCTGTGGCAGGAATGGCACTGGGTTATGGTCTTGGGAGGTTTCCACGTCCACATTTTCATTTCCACAGTCCTGAGGAGGAGTACTACTACAATTATTACATGTACAGAAGATATGGTGTGAAATCTACAGACACCAATGACTTCAGTAGACACTACAGCTACAATGTACCTCCTTCCAGCTATGAGACCTATATGAACACATGCATGAAAAGAACAGACCTCTTGCCCACCCCAAAGAAGAACGTGTTGACTACTACCAAGAGTCCCACTACCACCAGAACATCCACTACAACCACCGCCACCACTTCAGTCTCCCGTTTCCATCCCAACAACATAACAGGGACAGTAAACCACTCATCTACAGTGCGAACAACCAGTGCACCCCCAAAGCCCTCTGAGGCCACCCATGGGCCCACTCCAGCGGTCCCAGCCCTCATGGCAGTCCGTAACACAGCTGAGGATGAGGATGACGACACAGTGAGTGTTGTGGAGATTGGATACCCAGCTCTGATTGAACAGTTGAAGGTGAGGAGGTGTCTGGAGCAGTATATTGTTTATTCTGAAAAGTACTTGAGGAAAAAAAGTCCCAAAGGGGGTGGGCAGCAGCAGATGGGCTCACACTGGATGATATTTATTCTTACCACTTCCATAGTGATAATAATGAACAATCAGGTATCACTGTTGCTGCATTAAGGCCTCTGCTGGGTGATTTCAGGTTTAAAGTGATGTCGTACTCTCAGATTCAGTTCTCTTTTATTGATTGTACTATTTTTCTATAATAAATATAGTAAACACAAATGGTTATTTGCATTACTGATTTGATCTATGACACTAATCCCATTAGACCACACATTCAAAACCTGCTAGTTTAGTGACCAGTGACAAAACAAATGTGTTGAATTGAATTTATTGAATTAGATGAGGGATTCATGTAGGCCTAGAGAATACAGGCCTTTTTGTTTTGTGCAAATGCGTTTTTCTTTTTATCACATATAAACTCTTGTTGTGATGTAATATAAAGCCCATTGTAGTCATCACTTAAAATAAATATGGGGCTCACAATATAATGGATATAAGCATAATGTATTTCTGAGTTTTGTTATGTAACCTACTGCTGTTTGTTTAATAAAGCACTGGACTGGAGCCTGTCTTCTGTCACAGTCTTCTGTCTTCTCACAGTGTATCTGACTGTTTGTGATGTACATGTCTAGGCAATCTAGGCATGTAATGTTTAAACATTAGTAAGAACAGACCAACACATTGGCTGATTTGACTTTTTAAATTTTTTTTTAAATTTAATTTAAAATCAAAACAAATTATATTCTTAAAACACAAGGAATTGAACAGTGACTTACATGTTATTTTTTCCTCTGAATTGTTTCATTATACCAGCTAAAGAAAATCCTGAGGCAGATTTTAACTGCAAATATGCTAAAAAAAAAAAAAAAAGCTTACTCACATGCTTAATAAATGTATTTATATTAGCCTATAGACCTATATAAATGCAACCTCTTATATTTAATATTTACAAGTATAAAAAGTGAGCAGGTCAATGCAGGGGGCATTTAATTTGGCTTGAACTGGGTTGGAAAGTTTTCGTGTGGCACATCTCTCCTGAAAAATATTGGATTTTATTTGTAGCAGCTTTTCAGATTTTGGTTCACTTCTTAACCATTATTTTGGTTGTTAGGGTTGTAGTGAACTTAAATCAGGTTCTGTCCGCTGCTGTGCATACGTCGGGGCGCCGGCTCTACAGGATTGCTGCCCAGGTGCCCATGAGCAAGGCAAACAGCGAGCCTATCACAACGATGATGCTGTTGTAGATTGGTCCACTGGATGCTGCGTCATAGTAGTAACCCATGTCTCCGGATCCTTCTTGCTCATACCCTCTTCCGTATCCTCCTCGTGGGGCACCCCCAAAACCCCCATAGCCACCCCCGTACCCCCCGTATCCACCATAACCTCCGTAACCGTATCCATATCCTGGTCGACTGAGCGCGGATCCAAGCATCGCTCCACCGATTGCTCCCGCGGCCGCAGCTCCAGCTACTTTACCCGCGCTGGGACCTGCGCTCTGCACCGGTCTGTAGCCCCCTGGTCTGCCCCGACCGAAGCTTCCACCGCCTCCACCTCGGCCGAATCCACCTCCGCGACGTGCGTCACAGGGGGGCAACAGGGTCACGAGGAGCAACATGCTCAGGGTGAGGATAAGCCACTGCCTCTGCTCTCCTGACATTATTATCTGAAAGGAAAGAACAGAAGTAGGTGTCCCTTCTTATGATTAGATTTCCATGGCATCACAAAATAAAGCTGAATAAAATAAAGTTGAAGTTCATCTTTGATATGGTATTTGTTTATGAAATATACAAAATAAAACTGCAATATAATAATAACAATAGCATGTCTGGCCTACAAAAGTGTGTATTAATGTGCATTGTCGCCAAAAATAACCCAGTAGCCTACATAACATAATTAAATAAAACAGACAGTGTACAGGAACAGTTGAAAACAAAATATGTCTGCTGCCCCATGTGACTCAGCTTCTAATCAGCTTTGACTTACACAGTGCCGTCATGGCCTTCAATTAAGGCACTAATGTAATCTAGGTGTAGTAACATACCACATGACCTACTCTAAATTGTAGTTAGTAAAATAAAACTTGATTAATACACTTATAAAATGCATTCATTTATATTCTTCATTTATAGGGAGTTATTTTTGTCTGTTTAGATTACAGGATTACTCTAAATTTCTAGTGGAGACACAATAACACTGGCAGTTCATACTAAACTAATCTGTCCTGTTAAAGGGTGGAACTATATTTACACTGGGTCACTTAGTTCAAGAATAATCCATCATAACAGACCTGACACCATTTCAGATGTGTCCCTCTTTTATTTAATTGAACCTAAAGATTGGAATGTACGCAATTACACTGATTTTTGCTCTCCACAGATCTGACCTGCAACTTGTTCTGGTGGTGGCACTATCTCCATGGATATGCATAAAAGTAATGGCATACTGAGGAACATTCTTCAAAGCAATAACATCACTAAGGAGACAAGTGAAGGAGCCTCTATCAGAAAAGTTACACAGTGCACCTTTTAAGATAATTAGTGCAAGAAAATTGCAGACTTTTATATTTTAAAGATTTAATGATTCCCCATGCCATTTTTTGTTTCAGTATCACATGTATGTAGCGTATAGTAATAAGTCATGTTTTTTCATTTAAAAAAATCAGGAATACCTTTGCAATATTTTTTACACCACCTTGAATACACCCATTACATTTTCAAGTATGCGAATCAACTTTGTAACAAAACTAAGTAATAGACAAGCTAAAGGCTACAATAATTGTTTGATTCCTAACCATATCAACATTTTTGCTTCTTAAGGACTCACCTGTGAATTTGCTTGAAGGAAAAATGTGAAGATGATTATTTTTTATCCGAAGCTATCAAGTTTGTGAATCGCCTCCTCTGATTGTCTGAATGGGAAGTATGTTTCAGGGCCAGTTATCCTCTGAGCTGCTCACTGAGTGGATCTGTCTGACTGCTGTCCATTGGCTGGTGGTAAGCTGCTCTACTACAAGTCCTACTTAAATAACTTCACCTTTCTAAATTGGTTCAAGTTATCCAACACTATGAATGAGCACAAATCACCTCGAAGCTTCCAGTGGCTTAACTACCTTTTGGAGTCTATATTTACAACTGTCAACAAGACATGGCATTGTTTCGTAACACATCACCTGGTAAACTGCGTGTGGGGTGTACTACAAAATTCTGTGCCTTGGCTACAAATCATCTTGGTGACCCCATATTACATTTTCTCTATATGAAAACTGCATATTACAGATTTTGTGAAGGACCCTGAGTAAACAGTAGACTTTACACTCCCAGTCTGACACAGCCTGACTGTGTGAAAGAGAGTAAACATTTTTTTCTGAAGATACCTTTTTATTAAATTGTACAAAACATGTTCCATTTGAAAGAGAACATTTTTATCAACTATACAAATATCAGAAAATGTTAATGAAAATAACTCACATTTGTGCTGCACTGTATCTTAGAATAACACAGTCACTTTTTTGTTTTACAAATACTGAAGAATTATCCAAACAGCTTTGAAAAAAATGCTGCATGTGGAACAAAGCTTTAAATTGTGCTAATTCAAACAGTTCAATGGTTGTACTACATCTAATCTATATATTAAAAATATATATGCCTAAAATAGTTTCACATTTTCACTGTTTGATTGTTATGGTCTTACTGGCAGGTTCATTGTTGTATATGTTGATTTCCTGAAACTTTATGTGATAATCTAGTGATCTAAGACTATCAGTATGTACAAAATTAGAATGTTCTATGACTAATTTAAGAAGATTATGCCAGATACATTTTATAATCCCTGCGTTGAGGGCAGCTGCAGTTATGTTTTACCTTAACTTCTTGGGTTCTGCTTAAACACAGTTCTGAAGATGGCTTGCAGTTAGCAGCTGAAAAATGTCAACAACGTATTGTACTGTATTGCCTTTTAAAATACCCCAAGAAGTTAATATACAAAAGAAGACTAAATTAACATTTTTGTATATGTTTTACCTTAAATTGGTTCTAGGACAAACCTTTACAGGCACTTTAAAAAGCTGTGGTCATTGTGCTTTCATTGCATGGCTCTAATTTGAATTCTCATCTAAATACATAGGAAGGATGTTTTGTGCTGCATTAGGGAAATTACATGATAAAACAATAAAAGAGGTTCAAAGTTCATTGTTTTGCCCCTGTAGAATATTGCTGATAATTATAATGATTCTAATAAATTTACATGCACACTGTAAATATATATTGTTAAAGCAATTGTATAGTTTATGTACTCCATAAACATGACCTAATTGTATAACAAGATATGTTCATATACTGAGAATGAAAAAAACTTGTATGTGTCCACTTCTATCTGCAGGTTAAGGAACTAGCAACCCAGGTTCTGTTATGACTGTAGTACCCTTTTTGAAACTGTAATAGTGCAGGCTACATACAGTTCCTCTAAACTGTATTAAAATGTGAAGAACGGAGGAATGACAACAGAGGTTACATGCACGTGGCCCCCTCTGGAATACAATTGAGCTGCTTCTCAATGATACAACGAAGATAATTATACCTGCACAACAAGATAATATAAAGGTAGTTAATATAATATTTTAAAAAATCAATTTATTGTATATTGACCAAGCCATACCTTCTTCTGAGTTTTTGTACTTCCCTGTCCTCTTCCTCCTTTAGTTTAGTGATAAAACTCTGCAGGACCGGCATCTCAAACTTGATATACTGCGCCACCTGGTGGAAAAACGCAGTCATGTTTCAGAGCAAATATACATGCAAGATGTTGATGTTCAAGCGGCTCTTCTTACATCATACGTGACCTCTTCTCCCAGGTCAGCCTCCATGAGAAACACTTTACAGACCAGCTCACAGGGCCCCTGCATCACTCGCAGCAGGAGGGGGTAGTCACTGCGTTTAAGCTTCATGCGCTCTGAAACAACATAATCATATTAATGATAATCATATCAAATATATCAATCAGTACAATCATATATAATCATAATATTTTAAAATAGAAGTAGGAATGTTGTAATATCACATTTTAGTGTTACATTGTTAGACAAAATGTTGCAATTATTGATGCCATAGTCAAACAACAGTGAAATCCTTAAATCTTTTATTCACATTGTCTAAGAAAACAATCTCTCTATGAAAGCAGCTTAATGAAATCAAATGAATGATGAAGTTACATTAATGAGACATATGCAGACATGAAATGCACTTTACAGTTAGGTTTATTTTTTGGGGCTCAAATTTGAACTAAAATGTTATAATTTTGCTTCTAAAATTCTCATAATTATTCATTATTTATCATAATTTTTTTCTCTTTCATTAATATTATATTGTGACCTATATATTCACCATTATGGACTGACTGAATAATCTTGACATCCCTGAATGTAAATACAGGTTATTGTCTTATAGTAAGTAGTAAGTAGTATATAGTATATAGTATATAGTAAGTAGTATATAGTAAGTAGTAAGTAGTAAGTAGTAAGTAGTAAGTAGTAGTAATTCACAACCTACCTCCACTGGTATGAACAAGGTAAAGGGCAAAGTCATCTGGGCTATTTTCTATTTTAAATTTGTTGAGCAGAACTCGTAGGACCTGAGGCGTCGTCATACAGCTGTTGATTCTGACGTTTGTGACAGAGCCATACGCTGGTGTGAAGACCGCAGTCTGTGTGATTAAAGAGTCAGTTAGTGATATGTAATGATGATTAAATGTAACTGATCCCTGCTGATCCCTCTGATATCTCCATTCTTCAGAGTCTACCAATGGCAAAATCCAGTGATGGGTCCTGATTTGTGAGTAGACAATATAATACTATTAAAGAGAGATTCCCGTTGGAACAAACTAAAAAACATTGGGAAAAGTGTAGGATTTACTTTTTAAATAAATATAAACAATATAAAAATATATAGACCTGCTGTAGAATAGAATAGAGTAGATATTTAGAAATAAACATACATTTTATAAGATTATGTATCTTTCTACACTACACACACAAAAAGCATGTAAAAAAAAGTCACTGCACATTTTAATTTTATAATACTGAAACATAATCACCTTGTGGTTATAGAAGTGTCCGTTAATAGAGAAGCGATGTCTCCTGATCTTCCTCTGGTCACTGGGCGATCGTCGCTGACAACGCCTCAAGACTCCAGCGTCACTCTTTGTCCTGAGGAGCTGAGAGCTGTAGTCACCATCATCTGCCAAAACAACATTCAACTTCATACATACTGTCTCCAAAACATCAGTGAGTACATGGGAATGTAAATCCTGGTTTGGACCTGGTTTTGAGCCCAGTTTAACCCATAACTATGTATGGTTGTGTTGTAGTCCTGCTCTAGTCCAGGTGTAGATCTGGGTTAACTTGCAATTTGGACATCATTTTTTAATGTGCTGCAAGTGTACCTAAAGATATGTAGGCCTACATTATCCTCATGAGTAAAAGATTATTTTAAAAAGGTCCAAAGTAGATATTGTCCATCATTACCACATTCAGTTGCACTCTTATGTGTGATTAAATGCCTGTGTACCAATGTTATGAATATGATATTACATTTTTAAGGCAAATTAATGGTGTATTAAAAAAGTATACTTTTTGAAATTGTGCAAATGTGTGCAAAACATACAGCTTACATCCTAGAGTCCTTGAAGCTGTTTCTCATCCTTTATTTAGAGATAATCCAGATTTGATTGGCCTGAATCTTAAAACCACGGGATCTGAACAATTCTCTGGCTTAGTTATAGGTGACCTATGTAGCTTTTCTGTTAAAGAGTCCGTCTCCTGCTTGTCTCCATGGTGATGATATTGCTTTGCCTGGATTGCTCCACAGTAAGGCACAAGCCGATCTCTTTGTGTAGAAAAAAGCTGGCTTCATCAGGCTAAGATACTGGTCAGATCTGTGGAGAGGAGACCTTGCTCACTGAAGGATTCAGTGTTTTCCAAGTATTTTTGAGCACATGCAAAATATCTTATTTTAATATCATACTGTGGAATATTCCAAGCAAACAATAACTTCTCCATGGAGACAAGCAGATGGTGTCCCCAACAGAAGAAAAGTTACACAGCACATCTTTAATAATAACTGAATCACATTTGACATAGTGTATCTCTCACCTTCAGCTTGGTCCTCATTAATGCCGTTGTCGTCTGGGTGGGTGTCGGGGGGTGGGGTCACCTCTACTGTTGGCGGGCTGGGTTGTGCAGACTGCTGGCCCTCTGTGCTTTGTGGTACTCTATAATAGAAAATTCAGTGTTTCTTACAATTCATACAAAAGCGAAGTCAGAGTAATTGCATTTATATCTACACACATGATAATAGAAGTCAACTGTATTTTGTCTTTTTACCACACTACATTTAAAAACAGACATACTACTGTGAGCAGGGTCACATCTCCACTAATCTAATGAGTAGTTTGGCCTAATGGCATTACCTGCTTATCTACATATAGATAGTTAAGGCCATATTGTGGAGCATTCTTGGCAAAGCAACATCTCTATGGAAACAAGCAGGTTCAAATCAACAGTTCAAATCAGAACTGTCAAAAGCTATAGACTAATGTCACAAATTAGTTCTGGTTACAATCACAATTTAATACTTCATCTGTTTTTGTTGTATCTGTTCCTATCAAATAAACAATAATAAATAAATTCAATAAAATGCCAAGTTATCTGACCACTTTATAAATACTCTGGAAACCCCATATCAAAGTAAATACATTTTCAGAGCTCATATTTCTGCCTGGTGATTCCTCTTATAATCTAGGACACTCTACACAGAATCTATGTGACTATTTCCGGTCAAAGGAATGTAACTGGATCAGGATGCACCTCTTACCCCTGACCATCCAGAGTGCAGCCTGAGTGCCAGGATGTAGAGGAGGGGGGTGGGCGAAGCCTCTCATGGTCGTCCTGCATCTGGAGTCTGATTGGACGACGCAGGCCCCAGAAAATGTTCAGCAAGCCCTCCACAATAAGCTCCCCCTCTTCCTGGTAGCAGACATGTCATAATCAATGCACAGTGATAAAATGGACATTAAAGGGATATTATTATAACCCCCAGTGGAGGAAAGAGGAGACTATTGAACTGAAATCTGCACTTGCCTCTCTGTGCCGGAGCTGCAGGTTCTGCCCTTCATAGTACAGGTTGTAGGTTTTTAGATGGGAAAGAATGGTAGATCTGAGAAACATAATTTTGGAGTAAACGTAAATAGATAGATCTATTTTTACACTTTTATTCAATTGCTTTGTGGCAAAAATGTTCGAACAGATAAACTGTACTGATCCACAAGGGAAATTATGTGGACACGGTAACTCACACATGACAGTATATTATAAAAACAATGAGCAACAACAACATAATATTTTTTAAAAAGGTGTAATTACCCAGAATTTATATACATGCATAAAAATAAAGAAATATAATAATATAGAAATAGTAATAGATTTATACATTTTAAAGCCACAACATGTAGCTTACAGCCAAAAAATAGACTAAAATAAAAGCATGTTTTTCTTTTCATTGTGGATGTTATTATTGCACTGAAAACCTGCAGAAAGTTTCATGGTTCTAGAAAAGATATAAAAGAAAAAGATAGCAACAAATACAGCTATTTGGCAATGACATTGAATTATTAATGATTTAATAATTTGTATTTACAAATCAATCAAAGACACTGCTAAGTAGGCTACTGTTCTATAGGTGATGTAACAGAAAACATGCATTTGAAACACATTGCCTACAAAAGCCTAAAGAAGTTTGAGTTTTTTTTAAAGTTTTTTCTAGGTAGGTATGGATATTTGTTTAAAAGTGGCTATGCTAAACTATATTGTATAACCACTGCTACAGTTCATTATTGTACAGGTCATGTGAAGACAAGGGCTTTGATCACAGCTGTGAGACTGGATATATGGCAAGTCAAATGCATGATATCCCAATCTATCTAATAACAGGCTAACTAAATAGGACAAGAACTACAGATAGGGATGATGTGATGACCTGTTACCCAGACGAGTAAAAAACTCATTGTATAGGTGTAAACACTGAGCCTCTGCATGGGAATGTCAACACAGATTTGTTATATAAGTATTGCTTTCTCATATTTAATTAAGTGAATTATCTGGACTTTCTGTTTGTGTATTCTTTATCTAAGCAGAAACTAATGAACATGAGAGGAAAAGGCTGTTTTTCCTCAACAAAAGTATAAACTAAACTGTTGTTGTTTAATGTTTTGTGGCTATTGTACATGGCAGATACTCACTTGCTAATAAATTTGTTCTCTCCAATCTGGACCCCGTCACCCATTCTCAGGAATCATGGGACACGCTGAGAGAAAAACAACACACAGTGAGCGCTTTCACCCACAAACTGCAGTCTTATGACTCCTCATGATCACTACGCTCACACAGCAGGGAAGTACAACCCCCCTATATATAAGTATATGTATATCTGTCTAAACTTCTTCTTGGAGGGGTAGTTTTAAAATTAAATTTAAGTGATCTCTTTACTTGTCTCACTTTTGTCTTAGTCTTTTACCAAAATTCATACATACACTACAGTAGAGCAGACTACTGCAGCTGTTTGAACTGGCTTGGTGCCATGACTTCCCTGATGTGCACACTTTTGTCTTTGTGTCTCCTGAAGGAAAGGCACAGGTGCTGAACACATGAGCCACTGGTGAGCCATTATATTTCAGTAGCTTTAACAGTGAAGTGGGCATCCTGCTATTGTTCAGTCATTGTGGTTCAAAATCGTTTTAAAAAGTCAAATGATCATATTCTGACTCATTTAAAATATGTACTATGTAACATTTCCACAGGAGGGTCAGTCACCTGCTTGTCTCCATGGAGACATTATTGTTTTGTCTGTAATGTTCCACTTATCTATGTCCATGGAGAAAAGCAGACCATGTTATCAGTAAGATCTTTGGAGGGAAGACTTTTGTAATTTAATAAATGCTATATAAATGGTACATCGGCATACTGTGGAACATTTCAGGCAAAAGCAGTAAAAATAGAGATGAGCTGATGCCAGACTCTCCACCATAAATACTTAGTGCAGCTTAGTAAGTGTCAGGCTAATTGACCTACCGTTTGGTTGTACTCTGTTGAATGTCTGTTGAGTCTGCAGAGAGGAGAGAAGGGGGCATAGGTCATGAAGATGATCCTATGTTGTTAGTAGGAGAGCCAATCTTCATAAAACATAAGTTGTCGTTGACATCTTTATATGTAAAGTAATGTTCAAAGGAAGTGCTCGCTTTCCGTTAGGGTGCTTCCTCTTTTAAGCACTCGGTCACACAGGAAGCTGACACTACCTCCAGCGCACTCAAGAACTTCCTCAATTTAAGGAGATATACAACATTGTTTAGTCTATGTTCCCTACTGTTACTCACAGCTATAAATGCACCCAGTAAATGAGTGTGTCTGGTAGAAAGGTAATCTGAGGCTCACAATCTCAGAAACAAATGAGTCAATGAAATATTAACGACCAATCAGCTGGGATCCCTGCTAAGACGTGTTAATATTTCATAGCCTATATTAGCCCCTGTCAAATACCAGAGCGCTCACTATTGACCTACACACAATATGTCATTAGTGTGTTAATAAAGTCCTGGTCAAGGTCAGTTTTAGCCTGCCCGGGTGATCCACACTGACAAAGACGATGTTGCAACAGGATCTGTTTAGGACTGACTGAAATGTTCCTGCAACTGTGAGACTGTGACATGACGTTATGCTTAGTTATGTGTTGGTGTGGCAGAACTGATAATACTTATTAAATAGACTAGATCTGAAATGGAACTTTTTGATATTTTTATATCAGATATCTGTAGAGTTTACTTCTAAGGCTAACTCAGTGCAGCTCCAAACACAACATGACAGCTGTTAGTTATTATAAACAGAGAAAGGTTTGTACCCAAGAATCTAAAGCACAAGAAGGGCAATCGATGTCGCTGTGGAAAATATAGACTGAACCATGACTGAACTGAGTTCAAGTTGAGTCCAAAGTCCATTTTTAATTTCATTTTTTTCCATTTAGATCATTGCTGGATTTAGCACCAAGCCTTTAATTCTCGATTTGGTAATTTATATTCTGCTTTGGTCTGGTAAGAGGTGCTATCTGGCAGTGCAGCTCTGTTGGTTCTTTCTTGTGAACGAGCTCACTATAAAACACCATTTAAACCCATGACCACAACTTCCTGGCTCCAGCTCTCACACATGTATCCTTGTTTATGTGGCCTTATAATGGCCCTGCTCCTTTAACCCAGATGATGAATAGATTGGCTCTTTGCTGCATTATTACTGCACCCACACTATTGTCACTATTGTCATAGCAACAACAAAAACCCCTGGACTCCCACTGAGAAGCTTGTGAGGCTCCCTCAGAAATATTTTAGAAACAGTCTTTACACTTTGATAAACAGCAAGCCAACGCCACGGCAGTTACAGGGTTGTGTTTGGAGGGAGGACTCCGAAATAAGAAACAACAGCATAATTTTGACACTGGTGGTCTTTGCCTAAATCAGAGCCACGTGTTTACAATCTTCTGCAAGCCTATGATAATGATAGAGCAAACAGAATAGCCTATAAATTAGATGAATCACTATAACAGTATTACCTACTAGGACATTTGCCTTAGATGGAAACACTTCAGGGGTACAGCCATATACAGTCTATGATAAAGTACAGCCTACTTTTCCTTATACGACAAAAAATTGTGGCGTATGAGGGATTCCTATTTGAGGCATTGCAGATGATGCATGAGGTCAAAATATGCTCCCCTCAATAAGATCTAAACTGGGGCGATGAAGAGCTGTTTGGGAGCCTGCGGCGCAACCCCGCAGCTTGAGTCTTGTTCCTACCGAGTTTTAGGGCACACGCTCCGGCTTCTCGTTTTCCTCCACCTGCGGGTACCGTGTAGATCCGCTCCACGTGTGCGTGAACGCTGCTAGATTCGCCTCAAAGTCGTGGCCTAATCTCTGTTAGAGCTGAAAAACATCCTGGGAACAGCTTCTCGTAAATTTACACGAAATGACAGACAACAAGAAGAATGGAGAGAGTCCATCTGCTGTGGCGGAGCTGAGCGCAGCAGCCAAAGCGCACGAGCCAATCAGCGCGCGCAACTCACGCCCTCTTTGTTCGCGCGGAGGAACCAAGGGACTGATGAATGAGCGCAGGAAACAATAGATGATCAAATGGCTCCTCCATTGTAACTATCAACATAGAGGTTAATAACGAAAGATAAACATCACTCTATTAGCCTATATATCAGACGGAAGTAAAGATCTAATCCACCTCAACCCATATCCTCTCATAACAGACACAGGATGTGTTCAAACGTAACTGTCAAAAGTTTGATAGAAAAATAATACGCATAAATATGGAAACATTATGTAGTACCATGTCAAATTAAACCTAAACTAATTCAAAATATATTTTTGTGTGATTAAATTTATTAAGTCTCATCAAAACAGTCTTGTCCTAACTTGATTTATTTTAGCTGAAACAACAACAAATGTGCATCATACTACAGAGCATACAAACGATCTGCAGTGGTTAAAGAGGCACTGTGCTTGGATTTGAAAACGTTGCACGGTAAATGCGCGCTTCACGCCCCTTGACAAGCTGAATGCTGTCAGTTTGATCTGGATCCAACGCGGCCCAGAGCTTATATTGACTAAAATATCAAATATGCGCACATATGAGTTAAGAGTGTGACTAATAAAGACAACACAACAGCCATTCTGTAACATCTTATTAAATAATTTGAGAAACAAAGAATAAAACATTTGTTGCTACAGTTAGTTTACACTTTTCTTCTGTATATTTAGTAAACTACTTAATAAATATACACTTCTTATATTACATGTAATTTTAAATGTCTTCATGTTCGGGAGAATGTTAACTTGGTTAGAGAGGAAAAAAACACACATAATGAACCAGATTTAAATTAGGATAAAATGTAATTTAAATTATGACAATGTTTCCAGCATGATCTATGAATAAAAGTTATGATCTTAGTTACAAAAGATGACTTGTACAAAATGTACACACATAAAGATATATAAAACAATATATGAAATAGATAAACACTTATACACATAAGTATATTCTTCACATAGCAGCCCCTTCAAAAAACTGAAAGGGAATGATGTCGTATCAGAGTAACTCAAGAACCATCAGAGGTCATGTGATCAAGAGAGGCCAATAATGTAACAGAAACCATTATATCAAATGCAAACGGAGAAGAGTGGGTTGCAGTGTTAACGCATAGAAACCATGTAAGGCAGGTGATATGAGGCTCTTAACAAGGTAGTCACCGGTGTAGGGCACACATTTAACAGCCAGGTATGATGAGGGTTAATGTGCATGAACAGCATGTGATGAACTAAATATCAATAATATTGATGACGAGGGCATTGGTAGTATACCTGCAAGGACCATAGACACCAAGAGATTACGAAACTGAGCAAAATACAGTTTATGCATTTCTACTCAGTGGTTGCTGAAAGGTCCAATGTACAGAACATTTTAGGAAGTCTAGATAAGATTACAAGTACAGCATCAAAACTACTTTCTAGCTTTGCCACAACTTTGACCTTGAAAGTCATAAGGCAGAAAATAGTGCAATACAAAAGCAATACTACACTGCCACAGAATAAGCAAAATGTAAAATTATGCAAATGAGATTTTGGACAACAAAATATGAATAAGTTCATGTTCTCAGTAGATTAACACACAAACATGTACATAGTGATGAAATATGAGAACAATTGCAGTGAAGTACATGTTAAAACAAAGATCTTAAGACAAGACACAACCACGATGTTGAGGTTGCACAGGCTGTAGTGAATTAACCAATAAACCAAAAGGCCAAATGCATGCCTTTCACCATTGATTCATACTGATATATAGATAATTATGGCATAGTAGGTCCAAACAATGCAATCTTTTATTTAAACTATTAAGTGTAATAACCATAATAACATGTTATAGTAATGTTGGCACTGTTACATTAGGAAATAGTGTGTATTAAAAAGGCCCTGACAAAATTTCACCATTCAAAATATAACAGAAAAAAGGAATGAAATAGAAGCATATTTTCAAATTTCAGATAATTAATATTATAAAAATCTGAAATTTTAGGTCTGACAAATACATCTTTATCGCATAGGATTGAGTAAACTGCTAAAGTATAACATTGTGCAAGAGCCATACCTCAAACAAATTTAACACCAACTATCTGGCCTTAAATAAATAAATATAATAGGAAGTAGAAAGTTCAACATTCAAACAGTTTTCTGACAATGGCAGCGT